ACGAAAAGAAGAAAAAAAAAAAAAAAAAAAAAAAAAATACCGCAGGAGAGTGATATTTATTATACTCCATTTTGTGTGGTGATACATAATAACAATTTTAGCCTTCTCGGGAAAAAGGATAAAAAAATATAAAAATATTAAAATGATGAAAACTATTCAGTTCTGCTTCTGATAAATAATTGAAGATACATTGCCCAGCTGATTTAATATTTTTTATATTCACTGTCCTTTGTCCCGAGCTGGCTTCATTGGGGCTACGCAGCTAAGCGGTCTTCACAAGACACACATAGAGAAAGGGGCGTAGTAGTTAAAGATATAATTTTTTTTTTGTTTTCTTCTTATGCGTGCAGATGGTAGACATAAGGAAAATGTGAAAAGTGCAGTGCATTGTGGCCTCGGTGGAAGAAACATATGCCTGATACCCGTTCGAGGGGCACCCTTTCTGCTCATCTGCAAAAAGGGGAGTTCACTTGGGGAGAAAACTCGGTGAGCTTTTTTCCCCTGTGCACGATGTGCATGTTCTATGTGTTTTTTTTTTTTTTTTTTTTTTTTTTTTTTGGCCTGCCCACTTACCTCCTTATGCTTTCGTCAAAGAAAATAATATGTGTAATGCATGGAATGGAATTGCCGCCACAAAAAAAAATCTTTTTTTTTTTAGGAGTGCTCCAAGAAGGAGCTAGCCATTTTCGGAAGTGTCGTCCAGAAAATGAGCATCTCGATAAATTCAGTAACACAATGTTTGCCGGAAATTTTTACCTTTCCTTGGAATTCAAACATTTCCCACTTTTTGTGTCTTTTTTTTAATAAAAAGTATGGATTCTCCAAAGAGGTAATAAGGGGAGAACTGTGAGGCGGTTTTTTTTTTAGGCCAACACATGAGGCTCGTGGCGATACAGAGAATCGCCATTTTTCTGCACAGTTTCCCGCTTTGTACTTATGACCATTCCCGTTTTGTACGCCCCGCTTCCCCCCTGCAGTTTATTGAAAAGTGTGTGGACTACTTCGTCTCATTTTTGAACTATCCCGACGTGTTAACAGTGAACTGGTACACGTCGCTGCTGCTGCTGGTGCAGAATTATAGAGGTAAGTGTGCGAGTAGTGTGTCATTGCGTAGAGTGGCTTTTTAGCGTGTACCCTTTTTTGTTACACCACATCCAACTGTTACGCTATTGGAGAGGGGAGCAATTGAGAGAGGTGTGCCAATGGAAGGTTGGCGGGGTGTTCCTTTTTTTTTTTTTTTT